AGCCATTTCTAGCCTTAGACAGTACAGGGTAATTCTGCTAACACAAGTAATCTGTTCAGCGGAGCAAAACAGGAGTCAAGTGCACTATAATATATTAATACGATACTAATGTATATGTATAATATATTATTATAATATTTATGTATCTTATATAGAGCATTATATAGAATATTAAGTTTAATAAGCAGTATTAATTTTGCTGTACATATACGCCACTTTACAATTGGGTGGGGACAGAATATGCCTTATACACAAATCTGTTCAGAATCTGGAAAGGCAAAAGCTGTGGTGCAAGAAGGCAATGCTCTACCATCCTCTCCTCAGAATATACCATAGACACAAAGCAATCAAGGGCCACCTAAAAAAGCAGCGCAGCTCTGGTAAACTTCTGCAGTTTGTTGCCCCAGCTTTGATGCAGAAACCTGTTAAGACTGCTCAGAGCATACAACAGCCGATGGGGCTCTCCTGTTAACAAGGTGCAGAGCATTCATTCTCCACACGCAAAATTCCAAGCACCGAGCCAAACTGAAAGAGAAATACAGTAGACATTTGTCGATTTTTTTATAATGCCCACAAGCATCTACAGATGTGATCCCATGTAATGAAGCATGTGGCCTTAAGCTGGAATTATTTGCGAACAGCAGGATCTCCTGGCAAAAGAGATGGCACTTGCTGTGTTATGAAAGCTGTCCCTCTAAAACCATGTTTGGTTAGCACCTATGCCCTGATGAAATTGGCATAGATAATTCCGAGCGGGAACGACGCCAGTATGACAGATGGGAGTGAATACAGGCATGCCAGAGAACCAGTATGTTCATCAAGTCTGAATATTAGGGACAGAGTCCTTTCCAAGAATTTAGAAACGGCAGGCTGTCCAGAGTTTCTGTACTTTAGGTACGGAATATAAGAATGTACGATCTCTTTTGTAACTATGAGCAAAATTAATTACAGTAATTTAAAAATAGCTTATCTGAGCCACACAAAGCATGACAGTAGTCAGCTGAATTAGAACAACTTTTTCTCTGGATTCAGAGTGGCACCAGGTCCTAGAGGGCAGAACCTGTGCACCAGAGTCAAAATGATTCCACGGGTTTTCTGCTAAGTGGTTCAGACTGAAGAGTTTTTGGATGATAATGAATATTCTTCATTTATACAGTGCCTTTCAGGCAGTGATCCCAAAGCAATTTGCAAGTGTATGAGAATTTAAACTCATAGTTGGAAGGTACGTCATTTACAATTAAGCAAATGAATCTTGGATCTACTAATGGGCTACAGTCCCATCTCCCCTCCCACCAGGGATTATAAATTGGAACTATACTCTCTGCGGAGAGGGTGGAGGAAGGCAAAATCCTTCTGCCACAATCCTGGCAGATACATGTGTACCCTGCTTTTGCCCTTTACATGGCACAAATAGCCATAACAGATCAGTTATCCAAAACACCAATGTAATCTCCAAACAGGAATTAGTAATTGCTGGGTTTTGAGCACTGGACAGCTACCTTTCCTATTTCTCTTTTCAGATTGTGAACAGCCAAAACACATTGCCCCAAAAGACTTGCCTAGGATCATTTACATGATTCTGAGAAACAGGAAGAACAAAAAAAAATCTAACAAAAATAGCTTAGGTACTATTGTTTAAAAACTAAGAATCTGGTGTTGCAATTCCCCCTCCACAAAAAGCCTGTACTTTCAGAAGAGCCCGCTAACAAAACGTCCCTCCATTTTGGGTTTCTTCAACTTCAGCAAACAAAATTTATGGATACTTTTGGAAACACTGGCTCTAATATGGCCAAAGTCTTGGCTGTCCTTGCTGTTCTCTGGATCTGTGTTTTATCAGAAAGTATGTGTCATATGAAAGGTGTTGTAATTGGGTTGCCGATGTTGTGGTCTAACCAGTGCAGCTAATAGTGTCAACTTACAGCTGAACTTTGTTTTCTGTTAAAAAGGTGTTTAATACTATTAGTAGGAATAAAAAGCATTGATGAATTTATTTTCATTTAATCCAGAGATATTCTGTAAACTAGAATTCTATGTCTGTGTTGTCCAGTCAACTGACTGACCATTTCAGGTATCAGCTGGTTTTTGCAACATAGCAAAGAGGAAGCCTGAACCAGCCTTGGGAAATAGAGGCGTCATCTGAGTAAGACACCTTAGTTAAGGGAGTTTATGTTTTAAAGTAATACATGAAGAAGCACTTTCATTCCAAAGGTTCTGAATTTTCTGTGTATTATAATAATCACTTTGATTAAACATCAGTGGATTGTTTTATTACTGCTTTTCCTGAAAAATCATTTCAAAAAAATAGTGGGTAGATACATAATAATGATTTTTAAATACATGAAAGCTCACCCTGAAAGTGGCGATCCTGACACACACAGTGTAATAGATGTGAAGCATAAAGTGGAACTATTAATGAACCTAACACTTCCTTTCACGTTGAGTTATATTGCAAATACAAATAAATACTACATTAAAATACAGAATCAGAATTTTTTAGACAATTTATAATTCTTGCTGACATATAAAATTAATTTTAAAAATACAGGATCATCTTCCACCTTGTGACATGCTGGGTCTTACAAAAGGGTGGCTGTGTTTTTACGTATTTACACTGTTGTACAGCATCCTGAAAGTAACCAGCAGAACCTGAATGCTGGACAATAGGGCTTGTTACCCACAGCGAGAGCAGCTCTACCAATCTTTTCTGGCAAGGCTGCCTTGGAGCCTTGATCTCACTTTCCACCAGAACCCAGTAGCTAGGAAGAAGATGAGAACACCTCTTTTCCATGCTGAATTTCTGCTGTAGCAGAATGGTTTTCCTCTTGACAACATCCCATTTAGATGTATAACGGCTATGGTAGTAGTAGACCCTATGTATGTAATCATTGTGCCATTTAAAGCAGATCTTAGAGACCCAAAAATGACATGACAAAGATTATAATGATTTTTGATTCAAATTGCATCAATGGTCTCAGCAGTATTAGCATACTTTCAGAATCTTGCTAAGTATGAACATGGTATGATGTTTGTGGTTAATGCCATCTGTTTCTAGGACTCAGGTGTTAAAATAATCAATGGACTGTTGAGCAGAACGCTCTACAGCCTAAATTAGCCCTACTTTGTTAATTGCCTTCAGCTCTCTAAAAGAAAACTAATTTTAGCAAAATATAGCTTGGGTAAGTACTCCGGGGGACAAAGATCACTCAAGAAACAGATTCTCCCTTTCCCCTGTAAAGGAGAAGTTTACAATGATGAGAAAAATCTTTTATCATCTGCTTTCCTATAACGCATCACTTCCAATCCAGCCAACTCAGCAATTAAAACTCCCAACATTACTCATGTCAAGATTTGCCAACTACTAATAATCAATAAGGTAAACAGGTATTAAGAGTGTCTTACCGAGAGAACTTCTACTTAAAGCAGAGCTGTCTAATGGTTTCACTCCTTCTTCCCAGAGCTAAATTGGTTTAAATATTCTGAAGCGTATTAATTCTGCTCTATATACCGTCTTTCCACAAGCCATTGCTCCAGTTATCTGAGAGGACCTGTGCAGTCCTGAATGGGAAGATTCAGCCACAGTTGTGAATGGAAGAGGCAGGAGTGCAGGATACTCTCTGGACTGAAACATGGCCCAAGCTGTGAAAAACACTGAAAAACCCTGACTTTGTAAATCAATATCAATCAATGCCCTGCAAAGTACATCATAAATCTGGAAGTTCTAGAGAGCTAACCCTGAGGTAGTAACACCACTTTACGTTTTAAAACATTTCACAAACATTAGGACAAGCTCAGGAGGCCTTTGATCTGATTTCATCCTTTGGGGCTCTTCCAACAATTAAGGGTTATTGGAATATATTGGTTTTCCAGACACATCTCCCCTTCAAAACAGATTTTTTAAAAAAAAAGACTAGTGTGAGTGTGTGACATGCTTTGAGGTAATAATCCTTTGCTGGGAGACAAAATTTAACATGAAGGAATAGGTTTCGATCTAGAAGAACTTGTTATTTAGGCTTTGGACAATGGGATTTCTCCTGACTAGCCAAGATTTCTCCTTCAGCAAATATAGAACAGACATTCATCTTTTATAAGTTATTAATAATAAATGTTGAATTCTGACAGACCCTTTGGTGCAAAGCACGCTGGACATACTCATTTATTCAACATTGTACAGGATTTTCCTTCTTCAATTGAACCAATCTGCAATTGCCAAAATTCAACTGTACCTGGAGGAAAACCAACCAGGCAGACATGACGGTTTATGGGTACTGCGCCCCGTTTCCTCATTACCTGATTTCTGGATGGAAAACTGAACAGGTATAAAGGCTTGATAGATCTCTTTAAGAAGTCACCGGAAAAATGCCATTTGTATGCAACGTTGGTTCCGCTGACACTCGTGCTGTAACAATCGGAGTCTGGTATGTGTAGATGCCAATTCATTTCAGGGTTTCAAAGTGAAACTGCATGTCACTTGAGGACTGATCCATTACATGGCGTACCTAGGAAATGAGCTGCTCGGCTGAAATAGACTGTTGCTTTTCTAAAAATACGGACAAAATGACTGGGAGAAGCTTTATGGTTTCAGGGGAAGTCTTCAGAAGGCTCGGGAAATCTGGGATGATCTTTCTCTTTCCTTTCTGGGAAAGGAGAAGGCCACACTAGTGAACCACATCTAGTGGTTACTTGCTGTTCTTACTGCCCTCGCATAAACCTGGCTCAGCAGCAGGGAGCTGTGGGAGAGACGTGGAGCAGCTCTTTAGGCAGCCTGTACTGCTCAAACAGCTGCACTGTATCTTCTTTGCCAGAAGCAAAATGGGGAGGAAACCTCCTCTGGCAGCCTTGGCTACTGCCCACATGCATAACTGGCCCTGTCTGGGAGAGACAGCTGGAAAACTGGGAATCTCTTCTAAGAGATCTTGGGAGTTTGAGATAGAAATCCCAGTAGAATAGACTTTCGGAAATGTGGTGAGCAATTAGAAATTACACTGCCCTTTAGTGCACCGATGCACTTCCTTGGGGACCTAGCAGCAGGTCAACCAGGTAGGAAACAGCGTGACATTAACAGAAGTCTCTTTTTTTATTAAGATCTGCTTGAATTAAACTGAACACGGTCCCCAAAGATCAATAACTGCTCTTCTAACTCCTCCTGAAAGCAACAGCTGAGTTGCATGTAAAATGTATTTTCAGCCGTTATGCCCTAAAAGCAACAATAAACAAGTGTTTAATGGTGGTTTTGACGTTGGTCAGATCAAAGAGCTTGTGAATGCATTTTTTGCAAAACATTCCAGGGTGGGAATCGTGACAGAAGAGGGCACTTTCTTCATGAAAGAAGAGGGTTTCCATTTAACACTTTTTTGAATCCACGTGACTTTGTGCTGCGCATATACAGGAGTGTAACGTCCACTTTCTTCTCCATTCAGGAGAGCTGTAGGAAGGTCCATTTCATGCCTGGAGGTCCACGCCACTAAGTTCCCAAGAGGAAAACATGTCTCTAACTGCTGTGCTTCCTTCCATGAACAAGCGAATTCCTGTGTTGCAAACGGCCTGCCTGCTGCTACACTTCTTAAGGGAAGTACACTACTTCATAAATGGTGTGCTTCGTGTGTTAGTGTACAGCAACATGTTACGTTTAAGTCATTCCACCAGTGCAGCATCCACATTTGCTTTATGGTTTTATTCATGGTGCTGGAAGTATTTGTTACCACAATAGCATGTATATTGAAAATTTTTTTAAAGTGAAAAGTTCTGCCTAACCATTAAAGGTTTTTGCCATTGATACTTATTTCTTAGTCAGCATTTGTCTATGGAAGAACCACTCGACAGACACTGCAGATCTGCCCATTCACCTCAGTTCCCGAACAATGGGTGTAAGATGTGACAAGAAAAAAAGAAAATAAAACAAAAAAATTGGCAACTTATAACCTCTTTTGCTGGCCTTCATAGACTCCCTTCTTGCTGCTCTATTACTAAGACTCTGGAAGGACCCTGGAACCAAACCAAGCTTGCTGTTGGGATCGAGGCAGAGAGCAGAAAGCTGGGAAATTCAAACCGTACTGTTGTCTCTCACCTTAGGACCAACAACTGAGTACAGCTCCACTGCACCTAAGGATCGGGAGACACTGCATTGTCGGTTATAAAGGCAACATTAGTACGCAGCTGTTGAACTTGCCCATTGATCATGTTTGTTGGTGGGTGCTCAAGTTGCTGATACGGAGTATGCCTCAGCTATGTGGCACCTGTGGTTTAATCAGTGACAGCGACATCCAATAGTCCATGTAAGTTTGCAGGAGGCCAGCAGCTAACTCCTAAGACACTACGCTATGTTCCCATGCCTAAATATAATGTACGTATCCTCTTATTCGTCCCTTCGGAGACAGTTTGTAGCACAGAGACTATTTTAGAATTTATTTTTGTGGCACAGATTGTATCAAATAAAAATTTTGCAACAACTTAAATACATGTTTCCCAGTGTTTTACCCAAAACGTGGATTTTTCTGCATTTTTCCTAGTTGGCACCAATACTAACAGTGGTAAATGACCATTAAAACAATGATCCCCAGTATCAAGTGAAAAACATCAAAGAACGTGTAAGTGATTAAAGCGGGAAGCTCGGGAACACATGCTCAGCTCAGTAATGATAATCTTGGTTAAGTTTGACTAAAAAGTTTTTTTTGTGACTTGTGTGTGAACCTGCTCATCATGCAAAAATGACTAATTAAATAGTAGGGACTTTCGGAACGCTTCAGGAGGTCTCGGCCGTGCCCTTTTTTTCCCTGCCCCGCTGGGACCCGAGGCCTTTTGGGTACGTTTCTGCCGCTTGTGAACGTCCCGCACCCTGACAGAGGCAGCAGTTCCAGTCGGGCACTAACGCTGCCGGACACCGGGCTCCGCTCTGCCTTTCTTCAGCAGGCTGGGGAGGCCTCCCCGCCCCGCCCGCTCCCGCCAATTACGCGCTGCGGTGGCGTCACGCCTCCTTCCCCTCAGCGCAACGCGCCGCGGCTCTTTAATGCTCTCCCCGTCAACGGTCCTTCTCCGCACCGCGAACGGCTGGCCCGCCCGGGGGGCGCGGCCTCCAC